CTTTGCGGGCGTAGCGGACGCCATATGAGCTTTCAGAATAGCGTGTGGCCTCCCCGCAAACCCAAGTGGGCGATTGCAGCTATACACCATAGCCTCGACACCCGCGCTTTGCGGGCCTGCGGGCCGCACGCTGTTTCGGATTTCCCGCGGGCGGCACCGCAAGCGCGAACCGGCGGCTCGCGTTACGACGCATGCGCAATGACAGCGACCAAACATCGAGGGATTGCGGTGCGCTATTCTAAAGCTCCCATTAATGATAATCGTATCTGGGGTCTTACGCATACGCGCCAAAACCACGATATGATTATGAAGAGTGCCGTAGTGTAGGGTTCCGGAAACATCGACCGTTCGCACAGCTAGTACGTGGAGAGTACATGGACAGGACAGCACATGGACCGTTGGCACAGTTCGATCGAACCAACGAACTCCGAGTTAGACGTCGAGCCCTGTACCGGCCGCCATTCGCGAGCTGCTGGAGTAACGCAATAATGCTGATTGTGAGCGGAAAAGAAATCGTTTTGAGGAAACAATCTTGACATAACAAAATTTTATTTTAAGAAGGTTTTGATTTCACGAAAAGGGCTTCCCCGTCACGTATTTACAGAGATGGAATGCTTATAGAGCCACGAAGAACGCGATGAGCAACACTTTGTCTCGGAGAGCTACAAAGACGGCTCTATTTTGTCCTGAAGCACCTCATGCGGTCACTTTGTGTTGAAACACCACATTCTCTGCGAGGTCCACGGTAGAGATCGTTAACAACTTTTACTCAACGCACAGAAATTCTAATTACTAATTTTAGTCATTCTGCGAATCGGTACCGACATCTCTCTCTCTCTCTCTCTCTCTCTCTCTGAATTTGCGTACGTAAAATCCTTTTTCGCGCATGACCTACCTATGAGATACGGGAAAGACATTCTTTCAAACGACAACGTTAGGTGAGGTTTTGTTCAAATGCCCCCCCCCCCCCTTTTTTTTTTTGTTCGTGCTCTGACTCGGTTCTTCAATGTTCTGGCCCTTCTCGGGCTAAATTTTGAGATACCGGTTCGCAAAGTGAGGTGAGTTTGATGACGCGTACCCCTGGTGTGCAGATACACAGGCAAAATTTAAAAGTTACGGGGGAAGGGGTGGGGAGTTGAGCACCCGTAAGTTCGCAATATCGCTACTATTTTCGGTAACTAAATTACGTTACCAACAACAGTCACGGGCCTCCCCAAAATTTTCTATTATGAACGTAATCCAACTGGCCCAACTTGCCATCTTGCTCCCCTGCAGGCTATAATTGCGCCTGCGGTACTTGGTTCAACAAGCTGGCGAAGCAATTAATGGGGAAAATAAATTAAGTGGAGCCAGGGTACGCTCCGATTAGAGGCAGCCTGCACTGTCCACGGTACTATATAGCAACCGCATCAAATTAACCAATGAACAACTATTCGCAACATTCTGGTGGAGTCAAATCCCTCAACCAGTGCGTCGGAACGCAACTAAAACTGAGAACAAAAAAAAAACGAGAACAAAAACAAAGACGAAACCAAAACGCTGTAGCGCAAGTAGACTTCAGTGCCCCTGAAGTTCGTTTTATGAGAACAGCGGCGTCGCAGATCCAAGAAAAGAAACCAGCGTAATTCAGGACAGAGACGAGAACAGGCAGATTCATTCACAAATCATCGCCAGCATATCAGACTCAATGACGGGCTGCTTCTGAGACCATGCTCACTTTCATGACCCATAGCACTGAGTGTGTGCAGAAAATTTGTAATTAAATTTTGAGAAAATTAAATACGGGTAACATAGAATGGTATTGATTCGCGCTTTGGTATGAATTCGTGATCCATTTTACTTACGTTCGCCTTATTAGAACGTGGAAGGAAAGTGTTTTACCACTGCAAGAATAACAAGTAACTATACTACAAGTCCTATGTTTTTATCGTTACTTTTCTACTGCAATTTTTTTTTCGTACTAACGAAAATGGTTGAGAACCGTCGTTGCGGCACAGAAACGGAATGGAATTCTTTGCGGTCAAACAAAACTGAAACCGGAATGAACCCCCCCCCCCCCCCACACACAAACACACACACGCACACACGCACGCACGCACACGCACACACACACACAATTCTTTCCGACACCGTTTACCCGCACACATCATACTTAAACATGTTTGTAACAAGAGTGCAGGTTGGATCCAGGCGGTTGCCCTTCGAATGAGGACGGTTGTATATCATATTTCATGGCTCTCACCTTGACCGCGGAATTCGTTCGTAATCATATAGATTAGTTTCGAGTCTCCGGCATGCTCCATTATACCCTTCTGCTTCGTCAGGTTATTCTCTGAGACTCCATTTATCGAAAAACGTGTGAATGACATTTTAAGCTGTTATATGAATGATCGAAAATCAAATGTCAGACAAACGCAAGAAAGGCAATACAAGGGTTCGCTTTTGTTTTCCTTTGTTACGCGCAACATTAACGACAACCAACAGACAACCAAGAAGTAATAGCGCACGAGACGTCATTATTAGTAAGTGACTTGATTGATATGTGGGGTTTAACGTCCCAAAACCATGATATGATTATGAGAGACGCCGTAGTGGAGGCCTCCGGAAATTTAGACCACCTGGCGTTTTTTTTTAACGTACACCCAAATCTGAGCACACGGGCCTGCGGCATTTTCACCTCCATCGAAAATGCAGCCGCCGCATCCGGGATTTGATCCCGCGACCTGCGAGTCAGAAGCCGAGTACCTTAGTCACTAGACAACGCGGCTCATTAGCAGTAATTATAAGACGCGTGTCAATAAATTGAAGTGTACAAAAAAAAAAAACAACTTCACCCGGCCTGCGTGGATCGAGTCCTGCAACCTTCGAATAACGCGTCCGATATTTTACCGATACGCGGGTTCGAATCCCGGCTGCGGCGGCTGCATTTCCGATGGAGGCATAAATGTTGTAGGCCCGTGTGCTTCAGATTTGGGTGCACCTTAAAGAACCCCAGGTGGTCGAAATTTCCGGAGCCCTCCACTACGGCGTCTCTAATAATCATATCGTGGTTTTGGGACGTTAAACCCCACATAGCAATCATCAATCAATCAATCGATACTTTACCGATAGAGGTATACGGCAGCGGTCGGTCCTCCCGTACGCTTTATCGGTTATGTACGAGGATTTTAATCGTGGAAGTGAATTCAGACGAAGCAGGGAATCCCTTGTTCGGAAGCGCTGTTTACCTGTACTTGGATCCGTGCACTAATTGGCTGGGTAACCGCCGGTAATTAAGAGTTACAGACTGCATTCCAAGAGAAGGCGAGCGCGAGAGGAAGAGACACAAAGCTATAGGCGGGCTGAAGAGATGGAGAGTTTCAGGGGAATAACGGTGCAGCAAACACAGTACTGTAGGATTATTATTATTATTATTATTATTATTATTATTATTATTATGTTATCAGTACTTAACTGAAGGCGTGATTTGCATACAAGCATATACGAAACCAAGATATTGTACGGTGCTGGTTCAACTCCCACGGGAGGCGACGGGTGAAAACGGATGCCCCGGAGAAGACTTCCAGGTCGAGTTACACGAATACACTGCGGAGATATCCTCATGATAAGGAACCTGATAAAACACGCCGACTCAGCACGCGAATGGCTGTCGAGCTGTATAACAACGGTCACTGAGCAGATAAGCACGACTCTTAGAATTCGCATGAACAAGGCTCGTGCTTATCTGTCTGACAGGTGGGCTCGATTTGGAAGGAAGATGAAGTAACAGTAGCGATGCACACACACAACAGCGAGAGAGAGAGAGAGAGAGAGAGAGAAAGAAAGAAAGGAAGAGGTCATATTCATTTCTGTATCTTCTTTTTATAAGGGCCAAGCTTCTTATTGTGCCGTGGGTTGTACGTCCCGTATCGGCGTAGTAGGCAGTTGCATTGCATGCCAATGAAAACGGTGTCACAGAATATCCACGGAGTAAATGATGATCAATGGGGCGAAGAGTCTGTCAGTCACTCCGTGCGTCCGTCTAAGAGTCCGTCCATCCGTGCATCCGTCCGTGCGTATGTGTGTCCGCCCGTCTATCGGCTTCGCTCCACTCGTCATCATTCACCTCGTGGATACGCTATGACTTATTATTTTTTTGCGCGAGACATTACATCCTTCGGAACACGGGCGTCGACAAGGATGTGCAAAAGGGGCCCTTGCCTACCACCCATCCAAGCCACACCAACACTTGCCCCATTTGTAGTGTCCTAACCTTACAGTTTGCTTTGTATATAGCCTTCCATCGCATTACTGTACTACCTACGTTGTATTATAGGTTAACGCTTTCTTGTTTTGCTTTTATCATGGCGTGTGACGGAGTGCGCGCCATTAATATTAATAAAAAAAACGTTAACCTAGAATATGCGTGACGTTTCAGACTAATTTACTTTTTTTTGCGTAATACGTTTTATTATATACATGCCTTTCCTGCTGAAATCGCCCTTAGGATATGTAGTATCTCTGAAATAATTGAATAAATAAATTACGCGGAGAACAGCGCTCGACTGACCACACCGATACGATGTGGTTCGTGAGTTTTCCACTACTTCATTGCGAATCGCGCGAGGTACACGCAAAGCCACCACAAGCACAATGTGCGAGCGGTACGAACGAAATACCTTTTCCCCCCGAAATTTTGACACGCACGTTCACAAACGCGAACACACACATTGCCCTTTTACAGTGTACCACACAGTATGGACGATGCACGCACATCTGCGTGCCAGTGTGTACGTGAACTGAGCACACATCGCCAGTGAAGTTGAGAGCTTAGCGAACCGTCTAACCAAGTGGTAGTGAAAGTGTCGTTCCCGCTACATCGAAGTTACGCTATAGCGTGATCAATCAAGCAGAAAGACGCGAAAAACTTACGATTCGCTCACGCGGTCACACGACCCACAGGATATCGGTGAATCGCGCCTACGTCGCGAAATGGTTACTCCTTGCGTCGAAACGCTCACCTGCGTCAGCGGCCGAAGATCCTTATCCGGGGTAGCCGCGGCGTTTGACGGATGGCGCCGATAGCAGACGACGAAAGAGACCACGGCGACCAAGAGCGCTCGGCTACTCCGTCGAGCCATGCTCGCGCGTCGTTGCGTGCGCTCGCCTTTTTCCTCGCGTTCTGCTCTCTCCACCGCTTTCGAGACAAGTTCATTGCGGCCGGAGAGGAAGGAATAAAGAAGAAAGAAAAGGGCCATCACACTCCGATGCGTGTGTAACGAGAAGAAACAAAAGCATAAAACAACTCCGACACACGGCACGAGCGCGCGGGTACGTGGCGTCCTCTGTCCTTAGCGACGCGAAGTTTTGGAGTTGCGTTGAGCAGACGTCGCTCGTCGCGTCGTTCTCTGCGTGCGCAAATACTACGCGTATCCGCCGGCGTTACAACCGCAGGGAATCCCAAGGCTGCGTGTATCTGCGTCGAAGAAGCCCGGAGAAGACTTCAGTATCCTTTCACGCTTGCGGGAAACAGGTAAATTTACGTAGTATGCGGTGTCGATCGCCGGTTTACGCGCTCGTTTTGTGGGTTTCGCTTTATCCGTATGGAGCTACTCCTTCGTTGGCGCGCTCTGCGTTGTAGTACGTGTGATAATGGCGCAGTTGGTGGTGGCTCTGTTGAAGTTCGCGTTGCCGATTCCGTTAACGGCTCCAACGAAGCCCAAGTTTTTTTTTCGATCACGTTCGGCCATACGTTGACACCTTCATCGCGTGAAACGGCTACGTTGCGCACCTGCGTGAGGAGGTGGCGCAGCACATGTGCGGCGCGCGTGTCATTCCTGCGTGTCTCGTGGCACTTTTTCGGGCCGGCTTCCGAATGGTGCTCGAGAAGTACGAATTATTTCGCTTCAACGTTTGGCGCATCGCGTACGTCAAGCTTTCTTTTAGCGCTAGCGCAAACGCGCCGAGTTGAGTTTGATCGCTTCCAGCTTGCTACGCCGTACGTTTTACAAGCGGTACGGCCTATCTCGGTTTAGAGAAGAAAAAAATAAAAGAAAAGAAAGACCACGTACTACGCTTTCGTTCTCAGCGTCAGAGAACCGAACTAAACTTCATATTATACTCCATAAAGATTTTTTACGCGCGACGATAAAGAAATGCCGTTTAGCAAGTTTTTTAAATAGGCACTTTAATTGCGGTTTCGCCGCATAAAAAAGCGGCCGCTAGACATTTAGACCGGAAGTTGGTCCACGCACAGGAAGTTGAAAAAATACGTCGTCTTGCGGTGGGTACGCGCCGATGGCAGCCATATTGCGCACTCAGATTTAAAATCTCACCCAATCGAAGGGCTAAAACAATTAATTCTAGCTTTTGTGGATATTGTGTCGAAGCTCTGATGTCTGCTCTAGGACGTAGAGTGGTTATTTTATGAGTGTGTGACCAGGAACGACCCGTATGAGGCATCGCTCGCCACCTATGAGGACCCCAATTCATCGCTGTCTCGCTTCGCAATGAGCCTACCTCAGAAGTCAAAATACCCTGGGGTTTCGCCAAACATAGCGCAGCAGTCAAGAGGACCTCACACGTATCCTTTTCGCGGATTTGGCACCCGGATCTACCAGCAGTGTGTGGAGGAGTCGACCAAAGGTTTGACTGTGGCTCAGTTGTTTTTTTTTAACCCTAGAACTCGGGCGATATTTTTTCCCCCTTGCTCGGCGGCGACCGCTCTCAGGGGCCGTCGACTTTTTAGGCCTAGGCGCATGACCCGACGTCGCCGCTTTGAGCGTGACTTTTTTTTTTCTTTGCACGTTTAATCCTCTCGGTGCCGACGGAGCGTCCGTTTACAATACGGTGTGTAGGTGCCGGCGATATTCGACGGCCACTTTCGAAACACCCCGCAGGCGAGTGTTTTCGGTGCCAACGTCGCTGTCTTAACAGCTGCTTTCTCGGGGCCGCCAAAACCGCGCGGCGCGTCTCAAAGTTGTTTCATTCGCGTGTAACCCGCGCTAGACGTCTCGAAGACGTCGAGTATGGTGTCGTGCCTCGGAAAAGAAATCGCTGGTTCCCGGTCGACGCGAGCGACCGGCGGTGATCGGAATTTTTGCGGACGCACGGTGACCCTGACTGCGATTTCGCTGGCCCAAATATTTGGGTCAGCGGACGCCTCTCTCGCGGGAGACGAGGTACCGTCACGCGTGCAGAACTCGCGGAAGAGAAGGGGGGGGGGGGGGCGTGTGCGTTGCCAGCGGCGTTTAAAAAAACAAAGAAAGACACCTGCGACCATGATTTCTTGAGAACTCTGTGGGAGCCGCGGTTGACAATATCGGAACCCGGCAAGCGCCGGCCGCACCCCCGTCTGCACTGTTGCATCAATGCTTGCGCCATCGTCTCGCGAGCATGTCTGCGTTGTCTCGGAGCTGGCACACCGAGCGCCGGAACTCGTCGCAGCCGAGTTTCGGTTCGTTCTTGACAAACGGTGATATAGTAACATGCGGTCCGTTGCGCTTTGGTAACCTGTAAACTATGCCTTCCAGTTGTGACTGTGCCACCTTATTCATTCGAGTTTCCAGGCACACACTCTTAACAGAACTGCATTCACTTTTGTTTTGCATGCAACGTCAGGGAGAGTTCCAGGTCGCTCTTGCCATCCGGTAGGGTGTTTTTCGAAGGAAACACTCTCGTGCTCTCATGCGACTGTGCCACCTTGTGCAGACACATCTAGCTTCCAGTCCGTACGATTTTACAAAATGCATGCATGTACTTTTATTACATACTAGTCTGAAACAGGTACACTCCTAGTAGAGTTTCTCAACTAATGGCCGTCTGTTCAGCGCACTGCTGTGGAGATCAATTCCATATTGTAGTTGCAATGGACTCCCTATGGAGATGTGTCAGCTCGTTGACTGTCATCGACTGACAGCCATCATTCCAGATTGTGGTTTGAACTTGCATGATGTCGACAAGGCCGGCTGCTTGTCATTTTTGAGTTTTGAGCTCCAGATGTCTGTTAACATGATATCGAACTGCACAGACTAAAGCTCAGAGCAAGGCTTGATGGCATGCGTGCTATTTTACTGCTTTCTGCTGCTAGTATTGCAAGCCACATTTTACTCTCCACGTTACGAAAAGTCCATTTTTGCCAGCTGGTTGCATTTGGGGCTGATTGTCAATTTGTCACAAAAAGACCCATTTGTTTGTTCATTTCGAACTGGCAGTGTTAGGTACTATCAGCATCAAATGAAACGCGAACAGCGGAGCGCGTGTGCATGGCACAAGCATTATCAATGGCATAGTGCGCACCGTCCACCAATCATTGACACAGACAGGCCCGCACATCCGGTGTGGCAGCACTGCACAATCCCTCTATAGTGCAATATTTCTGCTTGTGTTCCAGGTATGGTATTTGAAAGGAACCAAATATAAAAAAATACAGAGGTTAAACTACAGCAGCCGAAGGAGAGTATTGTAGCACGGTTTGTCATCACGGAGTCAATCATCACGGAATGCCTGGCAAATTCTATATATAATAGACAAAGGTCAGTTCATAATGTTGGCAATTTCACGCTGTTTCACTTCATGCCGGTAAAGCGAAACAATTTGTGCACTCTCTTCCGAAGAAACACTCGGCATTTACAGGTAAAACGAAGCCTTTACGGGTCGTTCTCTGAAAGAAGGGTGTATACGTGAAGCAGCGCTGGCGAACGAGATATGACAATCGTTTGAAAATCGACTGCAATTCGATTATATTTCTCTTTTCGTTCTATCGTGCCAAGACACCAATTTCTCAGCGACGCTGCAGTAAAAGCAAGGAATTGCGAGTGATATGATCAAAAGCGCTCGGCAGGCCCACGAATTGCAACGTTGTCACCATATGAAAACTAGAGCAGAAACGGAGATAACGCATTCTAGGTGGATCGCGCAGTGCTGCCAAACCGGATGTGCACACCTGTCAATGGTGATGACTGGACGGTCAACACTATACTGTTTCTAATGCTTGAAACACGCGCTCCGCTGTTCGGGTTTCATTTGATGCAGATAGTACAGGATACATGACGTACTGCTTCCTGTATATGTTCTTGTGTTAGGCCCTTTTTGGCATAGATTGGTCCTCGTAAAGCTGGCTGCGGTTCTACTGAAGCAGCTGTCAGTACTGCAGTCTGTCGTAGGTTTGTCGCAGTATGTAAGCAAATAGCCTTCCCCCTTCCCCCCCCCCCCCCCCCCTAGTTATCTATGCTTCCATTAGATTAGTGTCAGTGTGGCCTTGCATGCCTGAAAAATGTTTAACATGTTTAACAGATCAGTGGGTGTGCTTACGCAAGGCAGGCCACTGAAACACCCTTTTGTCGCATCTATGAAACAGGTACTCAGTACCTGCATCATTCTCTATTTGTTCCCGTTGCACAGGTTGGAGCCCGATAAAGGTAGCAGAACTACGACACCTGTCTATCTATGCATGTGGACGGTGAAAAATAAAAATGAAAGCTTGCAATAAGTTGGCGTGCGACTCAAACTTTTGAGGATGAAAGCTTGCAGAGACAGAGATAAAAAAGTGTCTTCATTCCAAGAAAAAAAAAAGGCTTGCTTTGATAAGATGTCATTCCTACCTGGCCACTTGCTGTCATTCATGATATCTGCGGCTGTTCGCTCCATGAATGGACATTTGAGATGGGTCACAGCTGCGAGGATCCCCGCTGTCCGTCGATGCTGGCCTCTGGGCCTCATTTTGAATGCTCACTATTTTGTGCTCGTTAGGGGCGTTGGAGACGTTTGGTCTGGTATTTCTCGCGGAGGATTGGTCTACAAATCTTATCGGAAGTGAGGAAAATCTCTCCTCCTTTTTTGTACTTTGCAACGAGGGTGCGCCTAATCTTGGTTGTGGGGGGCGCTTTTGTTTCGACAGGCGTAAATCATTTCTTGTTAAGCTGTGCAAACTGAGCACTGCTAGAAAGTCTTTCTTCTACCCTCCCTCTGTTATCTTTAATCGAGGGGAGGGGTCCCTTTGTCTTAGGGGGTCTACGTAGTCGCTGCTTGGGAAGCACTGATGCTACACCTTGCCGACTAATGGAAAACTATTTCAACCCCTACTTTCAACTTAGACATGACATCGTGTACTTTCAACAATGGAGTCCTGGTCAGTATCTTGAGCATTCTTTTTTAGATAGCTTATTTTGCTTATCGGCTAATCATCCCTCGCCTGTTGCTTTGTTCTTGGGCGTTTCAGTTGTCGGTATTTTAGGGCTAGAGCATCTCTTCCCCGTGGTGCGTTCCATTGCCAGCAGCAATTTTGACCAGTTCTCACATGCTGTGTGATTGTGTCCTTAAAATCTGCGATAACCTCCTCTAGTCGCCTTCGACTAACTCTTTGCAATGATTTGTGTTGGCAGTCGTATAAAAGATTGTTTTGTAGCTTGTTCTAAAGTTAGGCGCTTTGGTGTTCGAGTCGGTGCATGACAATATGGCGATAAGGGTGGCGTACTTCTAGCATGTAGCCCTCGTGCACTGCTTTATAATATGCTGTCAGCCTAATTATATGTAGCACTATCGACATGCTTTTGAAGCTTCACCCTGTTGTTTTTCAGTAATGTCAGTAGCTGAACTTTGAGACATTAACTTGTGCAAGCGGCATGTGAAACTGGTCAACAACCCCTGGAGATTGTGAATATGGCAAACATATTTAGTCAGTTTGGAGTATTCTGACAAGCCCTATTGCATGCAGTAACAAACTGTTGCTTTAGGATCAAAACTATGCATTCAGCTGTGCACGTAAAACATATGGTAAAGCACTCACAGTTGAATGGCAAGCGGCTCTGGTTGCTGTAGAATGTCAAGGCATAATGACGGGGCATAATTTGCATTATTTCCATTCATTTGTGAAACGTGATGCTGCCGATTTCCAGTGCATGCGATAGAGCAGCTTCATTTTGGCGTGTCTAGCATTCTCTCAAGTTTTCTGTCTTGTCTTATGGAGACCACTTTCTGTTTGCCCAGCTGTTCGCAGCAGCACGTAACTAGCCACTCAGTTTACTTTTTAACGCCACCAAATGGTTCAGTCTTCATGTATCTGCTACAGTGGGAACTGCGAAGTGTAAGCACCGATAAAGGGACTGTATTCGAAGATTATTATTGTTTGGGGATTACACTTTCAACGTATGCTAATTAGATGTTCAAGGAAAGGTGGGCAAATAATCACTTTAGTCATTTAGAATGATAATTATACATCACAAAAAGGCAATGCTGTTGCCTAAAACGATTATTTCAGAATACGGCCCCAGGTGTGTGCAGATTGGCAAAAACATATTGTCACAGGGGCTGAGAATGTGGGCATTGTCGCAGCATTTCCTGTACATTGCTTGCGTGCTGATCGCATTGGGTTTGATTGTCGTTGAGGTGCATTCGGCTAATTTTTATTCGTAGTGGTGTGCGATCAACATCTCAGCAATTGTTTTTATCAAACAAGGCTCATAGATATGGGGAATAAAATTGCTTCGATGTTGCATACGCTTTTCATATATTTCACAGCTTGCCTACATTTGTGCATGCTACATCACAAAGATAAGGTGACTGATACTATGTAAACATCAGTTTGGTTCGATTCTATGAGACTCAAGAAAAAGAGTACACCTTACTGACTGCACTTCACACGAAAACAAATGCACAGCTGCCTTGCTCATGTCATAATGACATTTGTGCTTGATGTCCTGTTGCTGCGTTCAGGGCAGCAGGAAGGGTAAAATAATGGAGCGGACAGAGTTGGTTGGTATTCATGTTTAAACACAAGGTGCGCGAACGCGGACGCTGGAGAGGTCTGACACCACAAACACCGAATAAGAACTGAAAAGGCGCAGTTAAGGTATTTGATTTCTTCTTTATACAAGTTTATCGGAGGTTGGCTCATGCATGCACAATTGCTATTATTGATATGCTAGACCTCAATCATGAAGCGTGTTTCTTCATTCATGTTCATGTACAAAAGCACACATTCATCTTAATCTCACATGCATTTACACTTCCGACAATGTCATGATAGATCAAATCAAAAGCTTCTAGCTAGTTATCCCTAGTGAGGGTAGTGCTGAAGAGGATAATATCCTGTGTTTATTGTTGAGCAAGTTTTGTGTGGAAATTGAGCGATGCGAGACTTGTCGATCCCGCTGCTGGAAGCCAACCAATGTGAGCCCCTCCCCCTTCCTTCTGATCTGAGGCTAAGCAGTTCTGTCATGACAGTCATGAGATTCTCTTTTGCCATAATTTTCTTGGGGCTTTAACAAAACAGTTGAAGCTTTTACGCAATTTTGGCCCTTTTGGCTGGGTTTGTTTTGTCACTGAGGTTGAAAAAACTACCTGAGCTTTGAGCATATGTGCCCAGACAAGTGGTGCTAGTACTGTGCCAGTGTCTTGGATGTTGTAGAGCCTATGTGACACGCGCCTTGCGCTTTAGGGAATGATAGTTAGCAGGTGAAAATAAAACTATGTGCCGACATTCTAGCCGGTGACACTTCAGGAGTATAACCTGCGGCAGCGGTTCAGTGGTCGTGGCCCCTCTTGCGTTTTCTCCTCCCCCTTTGCCCTGCCTTGTTTTTCTTTACTTTATATATTGCCTTGGTCTTGCAATAAAGCTTCAGTTGATAGTCTGCACTTGTCTGTACTTTTGTTCTACTTCGTGTTTCCATCCGCTTTTTGTGCAGTACACTTATGGGTCATGGCTATGCTGATGAGCTCAGATTTTGATGACGTGGCAGGTGCATTCCAGTTGGGACAGATTCCTAGTTCTTGTGTGTTGTTCTTTGCCTGCACGTGACACAATCCAAGGGATTGAAAAACATAATTAGAAGCTCGTGTCCACATAATTAGAAGCCGGTGCAGTTTTCAAATATTCATCGAAATGAAAGTGAATCACTTGGTTTAGACAAAAAAAATTGTAACGGTATTGTCATTAACATCACATTTGCAAAAGAGGCCATAATTATAACAGAAAAAAATCAGTTACGTTTTTATTCATGAATTTGTGCACTGAAAATTTGACTGGTGAATGTCAGTATGACTTCATGGATTTCAAAGTATTTTTAACTTTCTTTGGCCACATTGGCATGATAAAATTTTCTGGAATGTGAAATGGTGTACTCCTTACTTCCTTTAAAATGTGGTGTAATTTTTACTGGTTGTGGCTTTGGCAAGTGGGTGCAGAAATCTCAGGCTGGTGTCAGCAGCTGTATTTTACTTTTGCACATTTTGTTTTTTGCTGAAAGTTTTCTTGTTGCATGAGTGGCAATATTAATGCTATATATTCATAATTTGCCAAGCCCCGCCGCGGTGGTCTAGTGGCTAAGGTACTCGGCTGCTGACCCGCAGGGTGCGGGTTCGAATCCCGGCTGCGGCGGCTGCATTTCCGATGGAGGCGGACATGTTGTAGGCCCGTGTGCTCAGATTTGGGTGCACGTTAAAGAACCCCAGGTGGTCTAAATTTCCGGAACCCTCCACTACGGCGTCTCTCATAATCATATAGTTGTTTTGGGACGTTAAACCCCACATATCAATCAAATCAATCAATCATAATTTGCCAATGCAAGAATAATATTAGCCATAATCTTCAGTGTCCCATCAATTACACCTACAACTTAATTGGAAACAATTCCAGGGCATTTTGCTGAATAATAGGTGCGAATATGAGCGCATCACACCTGGCAAGGTTCACTGAAGTCATGATGTTGCCCCCCGCCACGGTGGTCTAGTGGCCAAGGTACTCGGCTGCTGACCCGCAAGTCGCGGGATCGAATCCCGACTGCGGCGGCTGCATTTCCTATGGAGGCAGAAATGTTGTAGGCCCGTGTGCTCAGATTTGGGTGCACTTTAAAGAACCCCGGGTGGTCGAAATTTCCGGGGCCCTCTACTACGGCGTCTCTCATAATCATATGCCGGTTTTGAGACGTTAAACTCCACATATCAATCAATCATGATGTTGTAAGCGCAACATTTCTCGCGAGGAATATGAAACTTAAATGAGTTACAGATATCCATGCGGCAGGAAATGTATAGTAGTTGCGGTTTCAAATGCAATGTTTAAGGGCTGTCACTGCGCATTGCAACGGAATTTTTTTAGAACACTTGGATCAGAGTTAGCATTGCCCCGATTAAAGCAAGACATGTTCTGCATTTGGAGCCGAGGTCCCGCTGTCTGGCCAACCTGCTTGTGGGAGGCTGTTGAGTCCCGCATTCGGCTGAAAGAATACTCACAATCGCAGCCAGCAAACCTGACAACTGCACCCATATCCTCGCTATGACCTGTTTTCTTTCTTTGTCTATCTCTCCCTCGCTCTCTCTATTTCTTTCTTGCTTTCTGTCATTCATGCCAACTTTTCTCACTTTCTCTTTAACTTTTTCTAGTTATCTCACCCACAGCAAAACATAGTCATGTGGTTAACATAAATGCTTGTTCAGCTACTGCATCTTCGAGTGTTTACGGCGCTCGCCTTTGACCATGGCTTTAAATACCGCCTCAAAATTTCATTGTTTCATTTACTTCTCCCATCCACTTCATATCTCCTCTTCTTTCTTCTCAACTTTTCAGAGTAGTGTTTTGTCGAACACTTGCCTCCCTCCTATCTGGCTAAGCACTACTAGTTTTTAGTTTTACTAAAATTTACCCCCCCCCCCCCCCCCCCTTGGCTCGCCAGCACTCTTCGCCCGCTCTATGCATATAATGTTGTGCACCTGTATAAAGTGCACCTGTAGTTGTGCTTGGTAGTAGGGCATTCGCAGTACTTGTGGCACACAAGACACTCGCGTTCTTGTTTACTCTATGCGGACTTGCTCCAAACCAAAACAGCTCTGCTAATAAAAGTGTAAATTTTTTTTTTTTTTTTGAGCTGTGAAACAGGCTTGTCTTTCCATCCCTGTTTCGTTAAAAGTCGTCACTGGTAAGTGTGGATGTAGATGGTCAGCAGTCATGCCGTTGGCAACCATCTGGAACATATTAGAAATCGTAAATGTATGTGGCGATTGGTACGCATTCTTGAAAACCAAAAAGGAAGTTGCAGGAAATCTGACACAAAGAACTACATTTAATGTGAGCACTTGCATGAAACTTCGATATGTAAAAGCTATTTCTGGCCCCCTTTGCATATAAGGCACATCAATAGATGTTGCAAAGTACATTGGTAGAGTCTGCAAAGGCCATCTGCTTCTTTTTCTATGATATACTGCATGTCATTGTCACAATGGTTTTGTCTTTCATTGCCTTTCCGACTCTGTAATTACATTGGGCGCCTGAGAATCGTTTCGATTGGAGCATTCTGTGTGCGAAATATTTAGCCTACATGGGGCGACACCCCACCTCGGTTCGCCTGTGGCATTTAGCTGGAAATATTTCAAGTGCTTGTGGTCTTATGTAAATGGTTGGAGGAATAGGTCTTGTATCATGTGGCTGAGGTCGGAGACTGCCAGACAATTTCAAGGCTGTGCGCTGGCAAATGACCATCTGTACAATCATCGTGTCTGTGCGATTTTACTTTTGTATTTAAAAAATTTTTCACCTGCATTTGCGCATGCCTGCTCAGCTTGGGGCTGTGTGTTTTCTCATCCCAGCTGTATGACCTGGAATCGAGTTATGAGACTTTGTTGCTGCCATTGCTTCTCCTGAAAGCAATTCGCACCACAACAAAAGTCCTGGGAAACTGCGGACTAAGTGATAGTTGTGTGCATTTCAGTGCCTGTTGTTCCATGACACTTGTGCACATATTCCTATAAACTTGTACCAATAATCTTATGTTACATACAGGAATGTCTATTGTTTTATATTGGATTCTATTTATTATGGTATGGCAATACGGGTGTTATAAGGGTGACTAGTTACAGAATTATCGACAAACTTGTGCTATCGTTATATTAGGGCTAGCTTGACAGTGGAAGTAATGTTATTGGCTGGAAATTTTTTAAAAATTTGATTGAGATATTGCACGGGCTGTGTTGGTATTTAACCGCATGCTATTCTGCTTTCTGTATGTGATCATTAGGTATGGCTGGAAATTTTCTTGGTAAAATTTCATCCTGCAGTAATTGTAGGCCCTTTCATTATTAAACACATTCCATGCATTATGGAAATGTGAATTGTGATCCGTTCAAAGCTGAATCTGTTAGATTTTTGTTGTGCGAAGGCTAACCATCAGTCTACCTTCTCTGCGACTTGCCGTTGGTGCTGTTAGACTAGGAGGCAGAGATGAAAGTTGCTGTGGCATGCCTGAACCGCAATTCCGCTATGCTCGTACCTTAGCTTCGAATAAATGATGGTGGTGATGAACTTTGTTAGTATGTTCTGTAAAATGGGGTTGTGATCATTGATCAGTAGTTGCATGTTTGTTATATTACAGTTAAGCAGCCTGATCAAATTTTTTCCCTCTTCACACACATTGTTTGCTGATATTTCAATATTCTTTACCAAATTCTTAACATCTAGTTTATATCAGCTGCTTACCAATCAATACTTAGATGCTCTCCTTCTGTGGTTGTGGTTAAGGAAATATCCTGGCATTCACTTAAAATGTGTCCAGTAGTATTCTGGACTTCTGGAAGCGGCCACCTCTCGATAGAAGTGGTCGCTGCTTCACAAATGTTGTTGTGGAACACGGATACTGTCGAAAGTAGTTCTACGCTGAACTTAGTTTAGAGACGCTGTTACAGCAACGAAAGAAGGTGGATAGATGAAAGGCATGTCCGAAGACACTACCTAATGCAACCAAGAGGCAAGGAAGGTAGACGCAATACTTGTAGTCTTTACTGGGCAATGCAGGAATTATGACGTGAATGGAAAGGAATCGCAATGGACAAAAAGACTACTACTTGTAGTCGATAGGGACGTAAACTTGCAACCTTTGGATAATGCGCCCAATGGATCTAGCAATTCAGGTATACGGCGGTGGTCGCTTCTTGCTAGCAGTTGTAGTGCATACCGTGAGTGTACATAGTTGCTTTTTATACGAATTAGAGTAACGCCCCAGTCTGTGTGCGCGTGACCTACCTTCTTTTGAGATGAATCCTTACTGCTTTCTGACGTTTCAAGCTCTGTTGACATGCTCTCTCTACTCAATTGAGGTGCCTACCTTTGAGAGGCTACGATAATCAACACAGACAGGGGCGCGCTAATACGGTGGCATCAAAGATAAGCGAGTTGCGTTTTTAGTGCTTGTTTTAAAGGGATCTGTCACCTTCAAGGGGGAAGGGGGGCAATGCCTACCCTAACTTGGTAGGGACGGGTAGACTTCCTGTATATAGATATACAGTAATACCCCTGTCACACATGGCAACTGAAGTGCACTTTGAGCGAGTACACTATGTCGCGAGTGTCGTTTGCGCGCTGTCACACGAGGAAGTTTAGTGTCACTTGGTGCGAAGTACACTTGTTAGCAAGTGGGTTCCCGAACCTCACTTGGCTGCGACGGAGCGCGTAGTGGTACCACTGGCTGGCACAGAAATACGCTGTTGCCTAAAGCGGTGCTCGTACTATTTTTAAACCATTGTGTTCGTTTTGAGGAATACTGCTGTTTATTAAAACAGGTCATAATACTACAAAAACCTTAGCACTCCGACCCTCGGACAGTTAGCGGCCACATTCGCTTGGGGGGATGCGGCAGCACATGCTGTGCAAATGGCTGCGTCCGTCACACTGTTTACTTCCAGGCACACTTGCACATGTGTAGATGAGTCGTTCTGTTGTCATTTGCGATGGTGTGTGCCACTGGTGCTACTTCCACGAAGACAACGTGCAACCGACAATGAGACACACGCGCAAAAAAAAACAATATATGTTGCACTACAAACCCGTCAATTGCCACTGTTATTTCTAAAGTACACTTGGTTTTCTCGTGTAGCAGCAAACCATGAAAATGACACTCTGTGAGCATAAGTACACTCGCACAAAGTTGCCAAGTGTGACAGGAGTATAGGGAGCTTGCATGAACGGTGGTGACGCTATGCACACTGGGTAGGCAGCCTTTTTTTTTTTTTTTTTGTCAGAGGTGGCCTGGGAGTGCAGCAGCGCAGTCGTGTTTCCAAGCGTTGGCGTTGCTTGCAAGCGTGATCGAGTGTGAGCGCGACTCAAATTTTACTGCAGGAAGTGTCGAGTACGATGTGAGTCTCACTGGAAGACTACACCGCAGCGCTACGCCTGAAGAGACCTCGAGTGGTACGAAAATTCGCTCCGAGTGTATCCGTTCACGCTTCGTGTAGGAGACTGTGTAAGTAACGTTGTGGCCACGCATCCACAGCTCCGATATTCACGAATTTCTCGTTCCGAGGAGGAGTTTGAAAACCCGGGAGCAGATGATGAAGTCCAGAAAGGCACTCGAGGGTCACAACTTTTTGAAGAGTGGTCGAGTGCGGGAGCCGTGGGTGAAGAAAGTCGCCGCCGACACCGTGGCCGTCGTCACTCAAGTAAGACGTGTTAAAAAAAAAAAAACTTAGAACGATCTTCTCGTGCACGTGCGTCGTACTCCACGGTGAATAACAACGCAGTGGCAGGCTTCGCTGTTGCCGGCCATGCATGTGCAGTGCGCGGCAAGGATCTCTCCATCACTCTTGGCCATGAACAAGACGTCGACGGGGGCCTTGTGAACACACTGAGAATTGATTCGGAACAGAAACTAACATCAGCATCTATGGCAAAATCAAGTAATTTAACAGCCTCTTACTTGAGTGACGATGACCACGGTGTCGGCGGCGAATTTCTTCATTCACGGCTCCCACAACCAGCCACTCTTCAAAAAGTTGTGATCCACGAGGGCCTTTTTCTGGACTTTATCTGCTCCCGGGATTTCAAACTCGTCCTCGGAAGACTTCAACAGCTCTTGGGTAATCAAACTCGTCCTCGGAACGAGAAATTCACGAATATGGGAGCTGCCGACGCGTGGCCACAAGTGCACGTCACCTTGTGGCCGCACGAAAGCGTGAATGGGTCCACTCGGAGCAAACTCTCGTCTCTTCTTCGTACCGCTCGTAGTCTTTCTGGCACAGCGCTGCGGTGTAGTCTCCGGGTGAGGCTGACATCATTCATGCTCGACACTTCTTGGGAGTTAAATTTGCGTCGAGCCCGCACTCGATCACGCTTGCAAGCTAGGTTAACGCTCGCAAACACGACTGCGCTGTTGCACTACCCGGCCGCCTTTGACAAAAAAAAAAAAAAAAACGGCTGCCTATTTAGAGTGCATAGCGTCGCCGCCGTTCATGCAAGCTCCCTATAACTCTGGAGAAGGGGATGCTGCGACGAACCTCCGTGTTTATTGCACGAGATCCCTGCGTGCGCCTATGGTTGGGACTGAATCCGACGATGTGTGGCGAACTTTTGACGCGAAACGAGAAGCTCGCTCGAAGTGCGCCGCTCTCGTTCGTCGCCTCGTGACGACAGCGCTGGTTGACGCGCAGCGAGCGAGAGTGGCACGTGGGTGATGCGTCACGCGACCACGTTGTCTTCCAGTCGCGTTCTGCTTCGTCGCGTGATTTATTTAAAACAGCCACGCACGCTGTCGTTGGTGACGTGGCGATGCATGAGGAGTCACAGCGCGCGCAGCTGATATCGCAAAAACAAAAGTGGAGCTGCGAGATACGGCGACCAGTGACCTCGATGATGTGGCGCGATAGGGAGATAAGAGGATGAATAAATCAGACTGATGGGCTGGCCGATACTGCGTATGGTTAGGCTTAGCTCGAGGATACAACGTCTACTGTCCGATTTTGCTGTTTTTTGCCTTTTGGGGGGGGGGGGGGGTTGGGGGACGCAAAATTTGGTCTCAAGTGCCCCAGAAAGCCCACTCACTAATCCTTGACGACGTGGTCACGTGATACGCTATGCCCCCCCCCCCCCCCCTGGTCTCCCGCCGATTTCTGCCTCGTGTGAAAACCTCGTGGCTTGCAAGAGTTGCCTTTGCGGCGCAGCTGTCGTATTTATTTCCCCCGCCCCCACTTTTGCACGAGGTGGATGGACTCGCGCAACACAGCGTAGCACGCGCCCGCCTTGTAGGCTTCTTTTACCTTTTTTTTTTCACACGAACTTCTTTGTTTGCTTATTCCTCGGCCGCCGCCTGATACTTGGGTAATAATAATCGCAGCTGCTGCAACCACCACTTCCCTCCTCTTTTGCACCCTCTCTCAGAATCAAGTGTTAAGCGTTGCATATGTGGTACCTGTTTCTTTTTTCCCTGTAGATAGCGAGTGATGCCGGTCACGAATGCAGGTGGCACGCGGAAAAACAAAAAAAGTTAAAAAATAGAAAAACATGCTGCCGCCTGTTGGCTTCTGTTGTTGCCGGCGCGACTCGCTGATGCCGCGAGTTCCGCATCGCAACGAGGTATCAACCTTGGGTCCTCTCCTCCTCCCCACCACGAAGAGCTCCCTCTCTTTCTGGTCGCAGCTACTGTCTCGTTGCGTTATGTTTCATGGTGAAATTTACTTGATCTGTATATAAACAGCGCGTTTATTCACATAAAACTTCAAAAACTTTTTTTAGCAGGTTATGATGCCGTATGTGGCGCGAATCTTATTTCTGCTGCGGCGGGACGAATTTGCGACTGAGGCGAAAATGCTGGTTGCCCGTGTACTTGGATTTGGGCGCGCCAGGTGGTCGAAATGTTTCCGGAGCTCTCCGCTACAGCGCCCCCTTATAAAAGCGTATCGCGGTTTTTGGACGCAAAGCACCGCGGCTCGTTAAACCGCTTCGAGTGATGTTGCGCCTCCCGAACGGTAGACCACCTCCTCGTTCACCCATGGGCCGAGAGGCAGCAGTGAGGACTGTAAGCCCTGTGGCAGCTTGGGCTAGTTGGTATGGCATGACGGTAGTAATAGCGCGAGAACAAAAACGACGACACAGAGACAAGTTGTCTCTGTGTCGTCGTTTTTCTTCTCGCGCTGTAACTACAGTCCCTGTGATAGCTTTTTGGAGAAACGCATTTGTTGTCGCTAGCATACCTTCGCTGGAAAGAGGAGCGACTTAAGCTCAACGATCGAGCGAGGGGTTTCATCTTGACGGTTTGTGCGCAAGCACACAGACGCAAAGAAGGGAAACAGGCGGATATTGGCGCACTCTATCAATTGCCCTCCCCCCCCCCCTTTTTTTTCTTCTCGATACATCCACTAGAATAACCTTCAGACCTGCGCAATCTAGTCGAAAACTCGGGAACAGAGCACATGGCACAACTTGTTGTGATCACATGGCCCGAATGATGAACAGGTGACACGAACGAAACGTTTCTCAGGAGGCAGCGCAACTGGGAGTTGGCAAGATTTTTTTTTTTTTTTGCTTGTCAAACAAAAAGGTCTCCACTATCTATCTCGGAAGTTTGATTGCGATGCCTGTATTCGATAAAGGCGCTACTAAAACAGGGTGTGCACACGCGCTCGCTGCACTGGCAGTATCCCATCCAAACTCAAAACAAATAGTTACAGACTCTCGAAGAGCCTGCGAGAGCTATCTTGCAGGCGAAATCTCTCCATTGGCTAATAGACTTTTAAAATTAAGCATCAGGAACCGCGATCTTACCCCAAAACGTCTTATATGGACTCCGGGACATCAGGGTCTACAGGGTAACGAGGCTGCACATGCAGCGGCCATGAAGAGGGGAGTAGTGGTTCGGTACACCCGCAATATTTGTGCCTTTTCTCTGGTTTGACATCGTCTTCCTGCCTTTTGCCTCGGTAGTATTTTCAGAGGAATGGACGGTTTGCAAAAATAGCCAGGGTGGCTTTACACTGTATAAGGTTCCTTTTCCAACCGACGCCACTGCTTTTCTCGCCGATCGTGTTTTTGCCTATCTCCCTTTTCCTCAGGAACGACAGGTTCTGCATGGTCCACCATGCCATGGCTGAGGCTACCTAGCAAGCCCCCACAACCACTTTGTATTAGTTGGGGGGAAAAGACGTTTTGTTCAATGTGTCACTATCTTCAGCAGCCCTGGTGAGAGCACAGCTCAGGGCCTTTACGTTTTGTTGTACTCGCGTGTCTTCGCTGGAATTTGGAACGAGCCTTACAGGAAAGCCGCCTTGCAGATTTTTGCAAACCGCCCATTGACCATTTGCAGAAATCTGCAAGGTGGCCTTCTTGGAAAGTTGTTTTCAAACTGAAAAAATCTTCTTCACAGACTGCATTTCTCCCACCTTGCCCTTTGCCTTCCACCCACTCCCTTCACGAACAACAGGGGCCTTCACCACCATGCCATCTGAGGAGGGTTTGTGTTCCAGGTGGGACCAGGCACACAGCAGTTGTTTGGGGGAAGAGTCATTTTGTCGCACTCGCCTGCCTTCATGCGAATAGGAGTGGTAAAAAGCGCAGCCAGCCAGAAAAAGCAGTCTGGGCATGAGTTTTTTTTTTTTTTTTCATTTTTGCTAGGAAAACAACCTTGCAGGAAAGTAGCCTTGCAGATTTCTGCAAATGGTCACTTTGCTGGAAAAGTCTCTGCATGCCTATGATGAATAGCTTTGCGCATACAGTCGGAAAATAAGAAACGCCTAGACTGAATAGATTATCGAAACGTGGGGCCTGCTTAGTTAAAAGGGGTAGTGAAGCAACACGTTGGATTAGTTCAAAATATTGTTATTTAAATCACGTGAATATCAAATTTCACCTTTAGGTCAATAAGGAAGGAAGAAATGAAGGCCAGTGTCGCGGGACAACTCTTGGGGGTGGGGTGTAAAGCGATGTCAGCACGCGCAGCAGACATCGGATGGGGCTGCCAAAACGGGACGAACGCCCGTTTTCGGCACTATGTGGCCGAGCGGCTGTCCCAAATTCTGTCACGTCACTGCAGGGGGTTGAAATTTTCGGAGCCCGCTACTTACGGCGTCCTCCCTCCTAATCATATCGTGGTTTTGGCCCTTTAATAAGCCGCAACGATTATCCATGTCGGAAAGCACCTATGTCGCACACTGATCAAGTTCACCACTCGGTAGGCTTTGCTGGACTTGGCATCGTACTTTTAAGTTGTGGTACACTTACTTTGCGCAATGCGTCCATATTTCTCATTAACATTTATTTTTACTCGTTAACATGTGTTTTCATTTATTAACATTAGCGTTTATTTTGCGGAATGGCCCGTTTTGCGACTCCAGAATGCAGCATTTGTTAGTAACTGTCCTCCGAAGTGGCGTTGGGGAAACTGAAAACGATGAAATCAAACTGTGTGACCATCGAGTGAGCCTAAATTAAAACAAAAAAACAAGCTGTATACTACCATATTGCGTGGAGCTCGTATTCGCATAGTAGCTGTATGCTCGAACATTGGCAATGTTTCGCGCATTATATATATATATATATACCTTGCGAGTTCGTTTATTTAACTTGATTTCTTGAAATTTCGATGCGGGCTACTTCCTACTTCCATGAAATAGGAAAATAACGCTTATTGATGTTCAATGACCATTCCTCTGCCTAATTGTTTTCTGAAATTTGCAGTGATTATTGTGTGCGCAATAATAATGCAAAATAACAATAAACATTAATATTTATAAGACGCTAATGATGCAGCAGGAGTCGTTCAGAAAATATTGCTGTCCGTTCCGAATGCATCAATAGCTGCTCCAGCCTTGTATTTTTCTGTCCGAAACATCAAAATATCGCTCGCACCACTGTTTACATGAATTTCCTCGCGATTTTCTGTGAAAATTTTGTTGCAAGGCGGCTCTCGTGTTCTGCTTAGTTTGGTCTTAAACGAAATGGTCATGCTCGAAACGTGCGTCGCACTACTCGGCGCCCAAGCAAGCATGCCTGGACACTTGCGACCATCGCCTCTGGTTTTCTTTGCAAAATGTCCCCCCCCCCCCCCTCCCACACCTTTTTTTTTTTTTATTTCGTCGTCGCCTTCCGATTTTGTCTCTGGCTTTGCGCGTTTCGAATACCGGCGATCCGTGAAGCGACAAAGCTGAGCGAAAACTTCCTGCTCAGTGATTCTTTTTTTACTACCCGAAAGTCGTTCGCGGGAGCATTTTCTCGTTCTTAGTGTACCTCCCACAACACCCAAGTTCCCCAGCCAAGGTGCAAATATGCGCTTCAAAAGTTAGAAAGCGGCATAGAGAAAGAGAGAGAGAGGGTTGTGCGATTGTTGGAGAAGTTGCATTTCCAGTGCTGTCTGGCACGCGCAGGTTCCCGCATGGTTCGATGTGAAGAGAAATTCCTCCGTTTTTTTCTTTTCGCGCTTTTTTTTTTGGCGTGTGTCTGGTTAGGTTGGTATTTCTTTACCTTTTTTTCGCTCACATATTTGTCACCTCTGCATGCCAACGCCGTGTTGTGCCTCCCCCCCTCCCCCCACTACTTTCATCTTGGGTTGCAGAAATAAACTTTTCTACCCAGCCAGACAGATTGCTGTCAAAA